TGCATCACAAAACTTAGGTTTGAAGTGGTAAGATTTGCAATCAAATTGGAGATAGTGGAACATCAGAATAAATGAACACTTATTTTCCCGGACGAGTAGGGAAGGTGGTTTCTTTCATTGACGGACTTCAGGCTTTGTTTTAGTTTCGCTATGACATCACCGTATTGGATCTCAATCTCTTCAAATATCAGGTTGTTAATTTCACCTTCAAACACAAGTGCAACTAACACGAACTGGTTCCTTCCATTAATTATCGTATCACAGATGGTACTAAAGTTTAAACTAAGTCGATTGTTGAATACCTTCAATTGTGTATTTCCTCCTCTTCGCATGTCATGTTTGTCTCTACTATGATATATCATTTAACGTTCTATGTAAGGAAGTTAAGACGATCTACTACTACTTATTTCTGAATTTGCCTGTATAATGATAGACTTTTTTCGGAAGTGCTTTAGGATGTGTGTGGGCGGTTGTTACTTCCCAGTTACCCCCCAACCCACACCGTGGAATTTGATTTATTTTTCGGTTACCTAAAACAAATAGAGAATTAGTGTTGAGTGACCACAGAGGCCAGGGGACAACTGCTTGAGGCCGGTCACACACGGCCGTATGAACACGTTTCTGGGATCGATTCCGTATTAGTAAACTTAACATCGGCTACGGACCACCGTAGATTAAGTTGTGATATACAATTGTTGGTGTCGACCATTTCTAACTCCCTCTCCACGTAGTGGAGAAACAGTATGGCTGGCTGGCATGCTGGTCATCTGAGAGAAACATTACACTGCTGTTACATCCCTGTTTCCCAGCAGTACGACTTTGCCCACAGACCCCCAACATAGTGTGTGTGTGTGTGGTCTGATGGATTTAGTTTGATGATTCTTCTTCTCACCAATAGTGCTTCTTCCCCTTAACCCTCTTGGTTTTTCTCTTTCTTTGCTTATTATTACAATTATTATAATTATTCTCTTTATTATTGTTATTCGTCATAATTTATACCCCTCATGCAAACATTCTCTCAATATTATCGGATTTTTCATTCATACTATCCGGACTTATTACTAGTGATATTGTCTCTTTTCTCAACATCTGCCTCCACCTGTTTCAATTCACTATTCAATTCGTTATTTCACTATGAACCTCTCATTGTCGTCCTAATATCTCCTGTTTAATGCATGCCACTTTGTACTAGCCACTCACTCACTTGACACCTTTTACAACTTTGAAAAAACTGACTTGTCAATTTGCCTACCCCACACTCTACGAATGAATCTATTATGACAACTAATCAACACGACATTGTCTCCCATTTCACCGAAATATTTTGTAATTGATTTCAGTCAGCCCAGAGCATTAGGTTTGTCACACAGATACGACTACTTATTTCTACACCCCATGACCAATCTGCTATTCTACGTTTTAAAAAATGTATCAACTGGACTAATTAGGCATTATTGTAACGACAACAAATATAATAATTGTTTCATAATTGTAAGAACCTGAAGAGAAGAAATTATTGAGAAGAATGTTCTTCGTTCAGACTGACTTTTAATTCATGATATGGGAATATTTCACACTATTAAACCTAATAAACAAAAGATAGGTTGTGGGGTCATTCTAGAATTACTTCAGGCGAAAGGTCAAATTTAAAATCCCCATGTGTAATAAACAAGAAGATCGGGTAGAAAAGACCAAATAGGATTATAATTACTAAAAAACTTGTCAGTTTCCATAATTACGGGTTAAGTGCGTAGCATCAAAGAAATGGGTATGAGGTTCGGACGTATAAAGATCAAACCAGATAGGGATTTAAAAGGTAAATATAACAAATAAATGGGAAGGTTGGACAAGAAAGGTATTAGGATAATCATTACTGGTGAGACTGACTTTTCATGATGGCCACGGTAGGGACAAAGGTTGGACATATTTCTTTTTGGACACATAGAATAGGCTTTTGTTTTTGGATCGACAGTGCTTCAGCTCTATTCCTAGATGTTTTGATTTCACTCCCTTTGGTAGATTGAGTTGGATCTTGTGTATGGCTTTGAAGGATTTTTCATATAGGGTTGAATGTCCGGAATTCACCGAATGTTCTGTTAGTGAACTGTATATTGCTTTGTGTTCTCCCTGTGCTAATCATGCTGGCTAGTGTTCCGGAGCGCTTTTTACAAGCGGACATATGGTGCTGCCAATGTACTCAGCTCTACAAGAGCAAGTGAACTTGTATATGCTTGTTGAAGTAGCCAAATGCGACAGCTGGGTCAATAGTTTCTTGCAGCGGAATGTTATTCGTAGGCTTGCAGCGAAGTATGTTTTACCGAGAGACTTCGAAAGCCGTCTACGGAGAATTTCTGTTTCGGTATCACTTTCAAAATCGAGGTTCAATATCAGCACCATTACGGGGATGGCTTGGACGCTCTCAGGTGTATTCGCTGGTTTCAAATTTTTGTCTATGAATCTGAGTGGGAATTCATTTTCTATCAAGGTTCCTCGGAGACTTGGTAATTGTTTGAACATTGACTCTTCAGTGTAAATCTTCCGGATCCTCGACGAAAGAGGGTATATTAGGTTTCTCTTTCTGCTTAGAGGCACAGAGTTAATAATAAATAAATAAAAAATAAATAATAATAAATTTTCCGTTCCATGTGGGCTTTTTGTATGTGAAACTTCTTAGAGAGTTGTCCGCATTCTTTCGTAGTTAAACGTCGAGGAAATGAAACATTGAGTTGGACTCAACTTCCATGGTGAAGTAAATTTTTGGATGGACGTTATTGAAGCCTTGATAAAGATTTTTAGATCAAAATTCTTATCACAAATACTGAAAGTATCATCGATGTATCTCTTGTAGAGATAGAGGTCGTCGATAGCTGATGATAAGGAGTTGTTTTCTAGGCTGGCCATAAAGCAGTCGGCCAAGAGGAGTCCTACAGAAAAACCCATTGCTACTCCATCTACTTGCCTGCATATTTCGTTGTTGAAACTGAAGTATACGTTGAAGGTGCATTGTAGTAACAATTCTTCCAGATAATGGATCGGTATACCGACATCCATGCTACTGGACTGAATGTAGTCACAAAGGAAACATACGTTTTCTATCAGTGGAACGTTGGTGAAGAGAGAGACGATATCCAAGGAGACAATTTTCTTGTCTGTCACGTTGACATTTTTAATTGAATCAACAAAATCAAATGCGTCGCGGGGGTTGTATCTTGACAGTTTCTTTTCTCTGCCCCCTAGAATCCCCACCAGCCATTTCGCGATTATTAGAGTGGCTCTTTACCGAGCTTCAAATATGCCAAAGTCATTTGTAAACACTAACTGGATAAGGAGTATTTTCTAGTCGTATCGAGAAGCTGACAATATTCTTATAACCTAATGGTGTAAAGAAACTGTAGTGACAGGTAGTGAACGCGCCAGTAATTATCGACAAGGGGTTGCCAAGCGAGGCGGCAGCAAATTAAGTAAATTCATCAGCAATTAAGGGAGGTTCTGATGGACTACGTGCAGATACAACATAAATGTTTTAAATATTCATGTCGTTATATTTGAACAGGTGTTGACAGGTCAATGCTGATCACCGAAATTACATTGTTATGCTGGACAGGTGTGTCGGTCGACACTTAACAGTGAGGCAAAGAGGCGTGTAACTGGGGAGTCTCAAACATTTATTATTGGAAGCACCCTGCTGAGAATTGATGAACACTTCAAAGTCATCACCTCATTTCTTCTCACAGCTACATCTATCCTTTCTGTATAATGTGGAATTAATTATGCAAACTAAATTATCATCATATTGGTTATGGTGGCAGATTTCTTGAAGAATTTTATTGCTTATACTGGAGTATACATTGGAGAGTAGGAGTGATTGCAGACAGTTGACTTCACCTGGAAAGGAACGATATTTAGTGCTCATACTCCCTGGAACAGTCATTTGGCATACAGGAATAGGATTTAAAGCATGTTGGCACCCAGCATGATGTTTTTTGTAGGATTTGTGTGAATTCGCAGATATTTTAGGTGTTTATACATTCGCGGTTGTAGACAATGCGAGTTGAGGTGATGTTTCAACCGGCCAAAAGGTCCAAATGCCAAAGTGGCCTATGAGCTCACCTTAAGACCGGAAGGTCTTTGGTTGAAACAGCAATGGGTGCGTAGTGTTGGAGAAACCCAACTGGGACGAAGCAGCTGTCTTATACTCCGTGCCTGGTTTTCCAATGGTTCTCCAACCCATATCAGTTTGTGACAAGATCATGAAACCCATGATTCCGCAGTAAACTAACACAGGATACCAAAATTGCGCCACCATTTTCTACCTATCCTGCGCTTTCCTCACTAACTGGTCCATCAATAATTATGGAAATTCAGAAATAAGTGGGATAGTCAGAACTTCCTAACTTTTCACCCCCTATCCTCCAAATTGCAGTCTGTGAGGAGCGGCTGTTATGGATCATCTTTTATGAGAAAGAAGCAAGTCTATTTCCACATAGAATCACGTTCCTGCTCAAGGGATTTAGAAGGAACTAATTGTGTTTATAAATAGATGAAATTCTTTGTCGTGAGTATAATAGATGAATGCATTTCAGGCGCCTTCCAGTATCAAAGTGTAATGGTTTCACTGATAAAAAGGAAACGTGTTTCAATTCTGGAAAACATTTTTCTTAAAGTAAATGATTGATAAGAGATTGCAAGTATGTGAACGTGACTGTTATTTGTGTACAGCTACGTATGCGTTTTAGGCGTTCATGTGGTATCCACTGAGAGTGACTCTATAACGATGATGTATTCTGTAGATAGAAATAACCCAAGTAAACATTCAACGGAATCCCTTCCTCCTTATCATGTTGACAAGATGAAATGCCATGCTTATCAATGTCACATCACACTGATTAGATGACAACACCCGTGTGTGTATGCAGGTGCTACTATCAATTTCTCGTCATATGACAGAGAATATTCTAGTATAAAAGAGTGACACAATCCCATTGCAGTTCATCTTCGAACACTAGCACATACAAGATGAACATGAAACTTCAAGCTGTCCTGTGCTCAGTGTTCTTCATCTTCGTGGTGCCAAACTTTTCAGTTGGTGAGTTGTTATGTAGTTTTCTTTGTTTTATATGAGGGTTTTTCTATTTTGTTAATATCGTAACTTTATTTGAGTAATAATTTGACACGTGATAAACTGAGATAGGATATGCTTTTGGGTACCAGGCCTGTCTTTGATTGTCAGTGATCCCTGCCAGTATTTACTGATTTTGGTTTATATTTGTTTAGTTTTGGATGAGAAACGAGGTTACTATATGACCTGACCAACACGTGGCCATCATTTCCACGTATTGTTTTGCAGGTTATTGGTTTGATGATAAGCTGGTATCATTCGGTAACCACGGAGAAAGAGAATAGACTACTGAATGACCGTTTCTTCTAAGTGTGGAACTCCTCCTCAGTAAGCATCCATCTGTTTTCGTTTTGAGGAGCTATTTGTTTGTCGGTGGGTTTGTAGATGCGTTAACAATGTATATGAGTGTTCTTCCTTCTAAGGGATCGGAATGAAGACACTTGATGGAGGAAATATCAAGACTACCTGTTTGTCATGGATAAACACTCTCGTATTATGATGTACAAGCGAATTCCTGAATTTTGGTGACTAATTTATTCAGCAGCATAAAGCCCAAAATATGAATACTTCGTAAGATTTTCTATTTCCCTCCACATGCCTTTGTAATGCGTAAAGGAATATGAACGAATGTTAATCGGGCGATGCAAATATTGACTGTCGGAAGTTGTTTCTTCATCAAGTACACTGACTACTTCTAACGAAGAGACGAACGAAATTTTAAATGGTGTGCTCAACTTTTAAATCAACATTTTAGTGTGCAGTCTTACTTATGCTTCTTCAGTATATTACAGGAGAGCTGCTTTCTGTAAAATCGCCAAATAAATTGTGCTTACATGTCACTGTTATCAATTTGTAGGTTATGATCCTGCTGAAGGGGAGAGGTTGTAAGTCCCATATCCATATGACATTTTAATTTAGCCCACAAGATTTTGTTTTCATTTGTTGCTTTGCTAATGCGACATGGGTCTTCAAGTCTTAGTGTTTGTGCATGAGTTGTGAAGCCCTTACTTGGGCCACCTACTCTGCTTTTCGAGCATATTAACTAACTACCAGTGAATTGAGTGAGGTTCAGAAATATGTCAGTCGGGGATAGAGTTCTAACATGTCTGATGACTAGCAAGAATTCTACCACTGAGCCATGGATAGATTTGTGTTGTCTCCTGGATCGCTGGATAACGAATACAAGGAGCGTTTGACAAGTATTTCATCTCACTCTAGGAATCTCAAGCAGCACATATTCATGGCCGTTTGGACCTCAGGAACTTACGGTTGCATAACTAGCCCACTGAACACTGAGTCACAGAGACTGAGGGTGCTATACAGAGTTTTGTCCGACTATTGTCAATAATCATCATGACGACAAAATGAATATAATCTAAATATATTAAATAGTAGATTGAAATAGAGTAAACGGGAGATAAACTCATCGGAAATGAATTCGAGTAGTGAATAGTATTCCGATATCTGTACCTTGATAAACTGTTTCACTGTGAATGAAATAGATGAATACAGAATGAACTCTTATTTCGTAAGATTTTATAGATTGAAGCGGATATTTTTGGTGCATAGAAATGCAATGAAGGACATTTTGTTTGTCCGTCGCCCTCTCCGTAGAACACAGATGCTAATGTTAATTTTACATCTGACAGTCAAATATTTCGCCTTCCTAGGGGAATGTTTGCCTTCAATATTTACCTTGATTTGTGCTTATGTCTGGTGGGTCTGTCACAGAAGTGTAGAATTATTCGTGAAGAATTCGTCAATATCTCTTACATCGACATCCGTTGTCCCTTAATTTTGATTTGTAATTCGTCAACAAGGGTAGTTTCATTGAGGTTGACGTTTTTGAAAGAGCATACGGTTAGTCGGTGAAAATGTTTTCTCCGAAAAGGAGATTTTGAAACGTCAATTTCATCCAAGTTCAACTTCAAATCACTTCAATTTATTCTGCATTTTGTGAGGTGTTTTTTTTTACGTAAAATGATTTAATTTTGTGAAAACCTGGATGTAATAATCAATATTTTTGTTTTTGTGTCACTCAGCAAAGCTTATCTGTATACCGCGTAAGTTATAAGAGCGAACTATGATATGAGTTTGATGCATTTTATTTCTCGTTGGCTAATGGGTATTTCCTTACTCTGCATTGCAGTGATGCTTAGTTCTCTAATAATAATTGTAATAATGGAGGTTTATTTGAGACAATGCGTGAAGTCATAGTGCAGAAATCCTCAGCGTATTTAGTTCCAGAATATTTCATCTTCATGCAAGATTTACAAGTAAAATGATATTCTGAAGTCGTGTGACGCTGTATTGTCGCATATGAACAAAGGACCAATCCTCTATGTAGCTTTTCCTCATTTCTTTCAACAATCGCACAGTGTTTTGCTGGAAGCTGACTGCATATGTGCCTGAGATCATTTACTGAACATTTGATGTATTTTCCTGGTTAGAACAGTAGGGAATGGAGTTAGGTTTAAGCATTTTGATGGATTGAAGTTCTGGTAGATCAGTGATTTTAAGTGGGTGCCATAATATGAATGTATCATGAAGACAATGCAATGAACTACTGTTGATAATCCTCTGAAGCTGAATTACTGTGTGTCAGTCTTCGAAATTTACCAAATTATTTATTACTATTCTCTGGCGTTTCAAGTGAAGTGTAGAGGCTATCCAGAACGACAACTTTTCACCCCTTTATCTGGAGTCTTTTCAGCTGGTTGACTGATTGTCCGTTATCCTTCATCTCTACCTCACACGGCTTCATCCAAGTCAAACCTCTAAGTCGGATTCATTTTCCACTCGCGAGTCACCCTCTACTTGACGAAGCTGCGCTCATAAATCTCTCCAATATACATCAAACCCATCTGCATTTCCTCCTATATATATATATATATATATATATATATATATGTTCAGCGATACCGTCTTAGTTGATTCGTTATCTACCAGAGTTTGCAGTTGGTTGTCGTTTCCCATCAGCGATCTGATCTTCAGTAGGGAGCCAGCGAAGTCAGTTGTGCATGAAAGTATTATTCGTAGTAGTAGTAGCAGCCTGATCTAAATACTTTTGGCATTACTGGCAAGTTTATTTGACCTAGTGTAGTAGTATGTGAATTAATAACGTGTGTGTGTGTGTTTTCAATGAATAATTCTCCTTTCAGTGTCGATACCTTCAGAATCCTGTAAGAAATATTTTATTCATTCACTGGTCACATTCATCATTTACTCGTTACCTTGTTAAAAATCTTTGTCGAATCTAGTTGAAATCTAGAACTACTCGTAAACAGTTAATAGTAGTTTCACACAAGAATACTGAAAAATATATCAAATAGGTTTGATATGAAGGTCACTGTCTACGCCTTAAGCCAACTGGATTAAGATATAACACTGAGCTAGTTCTCACGTGCAGACGCATTTAGGCAAAGGGATTCCTGAATGAGTATCTCAGCTGGTGAATCACCTGAGTTCATAATCTGAATCCGCTAGTTCAAATCTCGTCATAATCGATACTTAAACGGAATACTCACGGAATAATAGTCAGACAACTCATGAGTATCTCAGAGAGTGTATAATGCACCCACAAAACTTCGGATCCAACTTGACAATTCTCACACTTACACACAAAGCATACTATTAACATTGACCAGTGCTTTCGCTTTCCTAATAAGTAACTTTAGACGAAATATAACAAACACACATACACAGAAAAGCGACGTGCTATTTGTATCCTTCACGCGTGTCATTCAGAGTTGAGTAATCTTCTCACCCTCTTACTGATTTCTCAAATCTTCTCCTTCATTTCTCAGTGATCAAAAAGCCGATGTATTGTAAGTTGTCTAGTGTAAATTTGAATTTGTTGGTTGTGTTAATTTTTGAGGTTTTTAGAGTTAAACGCTTCTTTAGGCAGTGAAGAGCATTATTTAGCAATTTCATGTAACACAGCATAACTCTTTATGAGTGAGGAATGCTGGTGTACCAAAGTAGTTTCAATAGAAGGTCTCGGCGTTGTAACATTGTGTTTACTTTAGTACACTTCCTATTCGAATATTCTGTTGTTTGAGTTTATCGATTAATCCACTATAAAATAAAGTGAGATACGGCATACCTGTAAATTATGGAATCCCGTATTATTTGGAACATCTACATTCCTGAATCAATTCACTCGTTATTAAGTACAGGAAACATTCCACGAAGAATTCATTGAAATATCGCTATGAATTCAGAAATGATCCCTATTTAAAAAATCAATACTCCTTATAATGACTAACTCTTATACCGTTTGTTCCAACCTGTTGTTCAGTGTTGTTTTACTCTGAAGGAACTTGTGGAAGGTGTTTCAACTTTTCAAGTGTTTCTTTTGGATGAAAGCAAGGAGTGTTAGATGAAACGTCAGATTTCATATTGAATTTTTATTTTGTTTAGGAAAGAACGCATCCGATCAGTGTGAGTTTCAGATATTCAGCAGTTTACAACTTTGTATGAGAATACAAGTTCTGTCTTCTGGTGAATTCTTATTTTACAGTCTCAGCTATTTTATGATATTTTTAACTGAAAATTTATGTATTCCTTTAGGTTCTCAGTGGAACAAGGGTCTTCTAGATCGAGGCTTGAAGTTTCTGTAGCAGTGGTGTTTATCTTTTACGGGATGGAGTAGCTAGCCAGCCTCATACCCAACCTTCTCTCCTTACCAGCCTTATTACTGGCTTAATGAGGCAGAGAAGTGCGTCTGTTGCCAGGGATCGAACCCCGAACCACAAGATGCGTGGTGGCAAGCATTCTACCGCTGTGTCACCGACGCACTCAACTGAAATTACTGAATGGCTTTTAGCATTTTCGGTGAATATTAAGCTAAATTGTGATAAAATCCACGCAACATTCACATACATCATAAGTCGAATGGACCAGCTGTAACACATACATTCTTCGATGATATGTTTGATGCTTGAGTTACATCTGAGACTGCAGAGGTGTGTGAGATTTGCGCAATATCGTTCCTGAGAGTTTTATCGTATACAGTAGTTGAAATCTGCTCATCTACCAAATCCTATAACACTCATGACTATTACTCAGGTACTGTTGATGATAGAGAAACATAGAGGACTACTTATGAAACTGATTACAGCCTGTGATTTTTATTTATTTATTTTATTTTGATTTACAGCTTGATTCCACACAGTATTTTCAGTACAAGTGTGGAATTTTCAGCATGGATATCGGTAGCCCAAATTCAGGCTGACCATAGATATCGGGTGTGCGCCGGCAGGGGATCGAACCCCGGACCATGTGCATGGTCGGCGAGAGTCCTAACCACTGTGCCACCGACGCACAGTTTTACTCCAGCTGAATCGGCGTTACTGGCCTAAGACATTCGTGCCTCAGTATGCGTACAATGAGTCCTCTAAATGATCTTCGATTCACCATTCATTTGTGATTCTTTTGCATGGCGACCGAAATGTGTGGCGTTGAGCTTTTGGAATTTCAGTGGTAGCCGTGGGTTTACTCTAAAGCGATAGTTCTCACTCCCTACGCCTAGATCAGCTGCCTAGCTGGAAAGCATTCAATCCTTGAACCTTTTCCTCATCAGTGGATAAATTATTAGTTTACTGTGAAACAAACAGAAGAACAATATCATCTTGTACTTTCAATGGACAAACTCTCACAGATATGTGCTGGGAGCGACAATACCACCGACGCCAATTATTCCTAATGTCGGTTATACGTAGAACGTTCTCTCTCAAGATAACGAATAAATACTTCGACAAAATTCCAGTCATATTCATAACTACTGACCCTTGTGTTTTGTGTGTAACCAATACTCCTTAATTTGTAGATATCAAATTGGAGAGGATGGGTATGTGATAAATTAATTGGTCTCTTGATGATTCTTGTAAACATTTTTGTCTTCATTAACATCTCCACTTTTCAGTGTATGGCCTGCATCTTAGTGAAGTCGAGCTTTTTTCCATGTGTGTATAGACAGATAATTCACTGATTGTGCGCAAGACAGAATTATTAGATCATTTCTGAAGATGGAATGTTGAGAAATGATTCCCAATTCCAACGTAACTATTTGCCATATTTCTTTCTTTATTCAAGCGATATTTCAAAGTAAGTGTTATGACATTCCACATGTTTGTATTTGTCATTTATATTCAAGAATCTTTCATGGAATAAGCGCCAACGACCAGTCAGGATGACGCGATTGACTTGAAATGGAAGTTCCACAGATATCTTGTAAACTACTTAGTTTTTCCGTCTGTGAAATGCGTCACTTTCTCGCCTTTATATTGTCTCGTTCATTCTCTCTGTTTCTTTGACGCGATTACTTCCACTGAAGTAACTCCATGCAAGAAGGATACAGTCGTACAGTCGAACGACAAAGTTCAACCTTCATATCCCTGACTTGGAATACGTTACGGAAATTTGACTGAAACTCATGAAATCCTGCATAAAACGGGTGATCGTTTAAGCGCATAGATTTCTCCACTGAAACGCTGGAGTGAAACTGCCTCCACAAATCGAATTGGCAGTTTTCGAATTTACTAAGTCTCTTTTCGTGTCAGTTGATACAATCAGAAGGACTATTGCAGCAACACGAGTTGATGGGGCGAAGTATATGTATCGAAAATCACTTAGTTTCGTGACCATCCACTGAATGCACTTTCGTTGTTTGGTGATACCATGTTTGATGCTTCAGCAAAACATGAATTCACCTCTCCCCATTTATTTTATTGTTGTTATTTTAGATGTCAAGCAATCCCACAAATGTAAGTACCATTATTGCATATTCCTTGTGTACATATTTTATCGTGAGATTAGATCCTAGTAATTGTGGCACATAGTGAGCTCGTTAAACTACTACGGAGCTCAATCAGCCATTGTGTGTTAGCTAGGAGATTCATTAGAATAGAATCATACGCTCTGTTCCACATAAGTTCATTGAATAAAAGTTACTCAGTTACCATTTACTGTTCTGGTTTATTTTTCTCCCAGGGCTACTATTCCAGATGAAGAAGTGTAAGTAGATTGTATCCCCTTTAGAATTTATATTCATTTATATGCAATAAATTCAACTTCTGGAAGCGATTTTTATCATTCGGGAAATAAAATGGAAGCTACACGGCTGTGAGTAGCCCTTTGGAGTTAAACTCCATACTAAGGACATAATACTGGGAGTACAGCTATGCCTGACTTCCACAGTATTTAAATTACAAGGGAAAATATACAAACAAACTGAGGTAGATGTCATGAGATAAACAATATCCCCAGTGGTAGCAGATATATTCATGGATAGGTGGGAAAAAATTGCGATTGAAACGTTCACCTCCACCCCACATCGAATTACGGTGGAGGTATACAGATGACACATTCACTGTACTTAGAACACAAGTTATAGATAGAATACATCAACTCGAAGGTTGAAGCAATTCAATTCACTCATGAATTGGAAAGATAGAAAGGGGGAGCTTCCAATGTTAGATTGCAACGTAAAAATGAAAGAAGATGGGAAGTTAAACACAAGTGTTTACAGGAAAACCCACACACTCAAACAGATATTTGGACTTCCAATCATCCCATCCTATGTCAGTAAAAATAGGATTGGTGAAATGTTTAGGTGACAGAGCACAAAATCTAAGTAGTACCAATGAAAATCTAAAACAGGAACTGATACACATAAAAGAAGCCTTGAAACTCAATAATTACCCGGATAAATTAGTCAGGAAATATGTAAGCAAATGTAAAAGTAAAACAAATAATTATAGTAGCGATAGTGATAATAACGATAATAATAATATTAATGACGAAAATAAAGCATCTAAATCATCAGTAGTAATTCCATACAAGGAAGGAACCTCGGAAACCACCTTACGCAGAATTCTTAACAAGGCAGGAATAAAAGTGGCTGGCATTCAAACCACCCACAAACTCAATTAGAAACAAGCTTTGTCGGTTAAAGGATCCTGCAGAGCCTTTAAAACGAAACAATTTAGTTTATCTAATTCCCTGCCTGCGATGATTGTCAGGTCAAATACATAGGTCAAACATGTAGAACAGAGGCAGTCAGACTAGGTGAACATAAAAACTTAGCAAAATCTAGATTGGTTGACCCGAATAAGATAAGAAATCTAGAGAATAGTTCAGCTATACCACTACATGCAGTCACACACAACCATACAATAGGATGGGATAGGATGACAGTTCTAAAATCTAATGTCACAGGGTATAGGAAGAGATTGATAACAGAAGCTTTGTTTATCGAATCAACTGGAAATACATGTAATAGGAATGATTCTTCACCTGTCCCAGATACCTGGAAAATTCTCTTACCCCTGCGACGACAAATAGGGGAAAACAAAGAAAACTATAAAACTCAAGTCTCAAAGTCGTGTGATTACAATTGATATGATAATGAACAATAAATTTTGTTCGAAGTTGTGTCATCCAGTAAATAATACTGTTTCACTGTGTGACATATCTAATAAATATGAAATTACTTATTACCACAGTGTCCAAGTTTTACACATATATTTATACTAATATACGCTACATATACTGCCTCTATTTATCCACGGGCCATTGCATCGCAGACAATGTGACTGAATGTTCTAAGAGATTGGTCACAGAACGTGAAAGTCTCTTGGGTAATCTCCCCTGTTTTCACGAAGAACCGGCAACCAGAGATATCCGTCGATGAATAAAGTTGCACAGTCGTTGTTGATTATGTTTTCCCATTTTCTCAAGAATAGAGCTTAATATTTTCATTTGTACTTCATCTAACTAATTATAGGTATGAAGGCATGAGTGAAAAGTAAGTCGAACATTCATTTCTGTCAATGATTGGATCTCGTCTGATACGATGTTAAGTGATTTCATAATATTCCCTCTTTCTACCATTTTGTTTCATTGGTATTACACACGGTACTCAGCTAAGCAGTGGATACTACTCGTTACTTCCTGCGAAATCAGTATGACGATTTTGGTTGAAAGTAGATATTTCTCTTCTCCACTATGTTGTCAACTGGGTTGTATGTGTGAAGGTGAATTAATCCTCAGACAGTCGATTGATCTGAGTTTGATTACTTCTTTCCCTGTGATACTAAATATAAACGACTCCTTCCAGCAATACTGACTTGTAGAAATTGAAGAAATTATTCCTAATGCATAAAGTTACATAAATCATTTATACAACAGCGATTTTTAGTACTCAAGGTACTTATTGTTCATTCTCATTGTTCTACCCATCCTCATGATATTCTGTTTTCACTGACGTGATTATAATTCGACAGAATGGCTTGGTCACTAATGAAATATCGACTTTCAGGTTGGACGCTATAAAGTCCTTTGACATTTCCCTTGCGATGATGATGGTGATGGTATTTGGTGACATTTGAAGCGATGGATTCTCATCTACAGTTGCATGTGGAAGCCTTTTATCGATTCAGAGATGCAACTGGCTGACATGCACAAAGACGGATGAAACACACTCCCTCAAGTCTCTACTGCTAGTGACAATCAGCCTAGGCGCATTAGATATCATGTTGCAATCCAGTATAGTCATATCCTGTGAAGGGTAATAATAGTACACTAAGAAAATTATGAGTAACATTTTGGTCTTTACTACAAATCATTGTTCTTTATTTATTTTTCATCGCCTTCAGTAACAATGATGTGGATAGATTGTAAGTTCATGTTATCTTTACTAGCCATTGATCACATTAAGTACCACTCTAGATTTAACATTTTCATGTTGAGCTTAGAATATTTATGAATGAAATTCATCAGCTAAGATATTCATCCGTCCAATGTACTTGAAATTATCTAGGTCATTATGGATATGAACACATCTCATCACTCATAGATTTATTCAGTCTTTTGCAAGGGTATCTTTGGATGCATTAATTTATATACTTTTGAGAATCGATTAATGAGTGCGGAACTCAGATTCCTACTAGACTTTGATGCCTTCTGATTGATCAGTGCGATGGCGAATTCTCAATGAATGTCTCCGTAGCTTATGTGATTAATAGTTCATTCCATCTGAGTTGAATAAATTAAGATGGAGTGATTCAGGATCACAGTTCTTCTCTGACTGATATTCTCCTCTCCGCTTTTTTTCATACTTCAGAGATGAACAACTTCAAGGAATGTAAGTTTATTTATTCATTGTTTACACTGATTTGAATTTGAGTAACGCACAACTGAATTTAATGAATGAGAAATGAGGTTTTTCTCGAAATACGAAGAGCAAAGATGTGAAGGCTTCTTTACAGTGAGTGATGTAATAGGGTGTTACACGAGATTAATGAGGTATGAAGAGATACAATTTGCATCTACATTGAATAAGACCTCTACTCAATGGGTTTCCGTCCAGGTATAATTTACCTAAAATGGATATATAAGCCTAAGTGGAACTCAAAGATGGAATGACTTGGAAAATCTGCTGTGATTCATGAATATTTTTTTAAATATTTCCCAATATAAACTACACAAAATTTCAAGGTGGATTTTAGTCAGCAGTTATTCCTTCGAAGTGAATCCTTCCTTCCTACCAACAAAACATAATTCACGGTTATTTACTGGTTACTGAATGAATAATTTCGTGGATTATATTCCGGGTGTGAGTGCAGCTGAATGAAGAATTCAAAATTTAGGTGAAATAGTCACCCACTACACCACAGTTCTGTGCATGATGACGATTGTTGAGGAAATCCACGGTGGACTCAATCAAATTTCCACAGTTATGAGACTGACGTCAATTAAAGTCCCAAGGGGAATTCATTTCTTCAGTATTAGTTACTTAAATGTCAAATTGTGTATAACTTTGTGATGTTAGATGGTGAGAAGGAATTATTCGAAATTTTGAATTTCACTTATACATTTTCGGAGGTGACAAGATGAAACATGTGGTTTTTATAACACTTCCTTTTTTAATTTAGCTACATCAATGCTGATGCACCGTGAGTTCCTACTTATTAACTAGATAATGTTGTTGATGTTATGTTTGTTCGAATTTGGCTAGTAATACAGTGACAACTATTCACCTTTCGATCCCAAAGCTTGATTATGAGTCCAACTGGATACTACTCTTTTCAGAAAACACAAATAGTCTCAAGTGACTTCATGAAAATTATATCAGAATATTGATCAACTATTCATCAGGGCATATATATTGCTCGTCCCTCTGCATTCTTAGTTTCAGACAGCACCACTCTTTTGAGTTTTGCGGTTACGCTGGTGGTGGTTCCGCCTTTTAATCGGATGGGGACTAGTCGCAGGCACAACTGCTTCTACCGACTAGCCGAGATTTAGCAGTTCGTTAGCTGTGGGTTGAACTAGGAAGCGTGAATAGCCGATCAATTTTTGGTAATAGTGTTCTCCAAAACACTGAATACTAAGAGAAGCATGCTACAGAATATAATTCCTGTGTAAACTAAAATAAGTTTCGCGGGAATTTCCGAACTACAACATAACCGACTATTCAACCACTTACAGAGGAGCATTCCTGACAATTCTGCTGATGGCTGTAGATTCATTCACCATTGGGAAAGGAAATTCGAGGAGTGACGAAATAGGTTCCCATCTCAGTGTTCATCATCTAATATTTTCTAATTCTAATTCTGAGCAAAATCTCTGTTAATCATATAATTGCGTGTATTTTCATTTCCTTCAGATCCAATTTGAGAAGAGTATACGAATTCATGTAAGCTTATGTATGCTAAGTGCAATGCTGATAGGATTTGTATTTGATAAATACTTGTGGGCTTCAATGTATTTCACTCGACATACGGGATATAAGTATGTCAGAGGAGACCGCTGTCTATCCCGTACATATAGTCAGGGTATGATTAGCTAGCTGGTGGGGATTGTGCTGTGACTGGGATTTTCATTTCACATCCCATCATTGCACACCATAGAAACAGTAGTTTCAAACCTCATACCTATGACAAGTAGGATTTTATGTAATGTCTTTGTTTACACATCATTTAGGTGGTGATGTATGCAGTTTTTATGCTTCATTTGTGAAATTACATAACTTGTTTTATACTTTTGTTTATAGGATCAATTATCCACACAATGCGTAAGTGGTCATCATCAGTAACGAGAATCATTCACACTGACACACGATTCATTAATACGATTCACGAGACGTATACTGTTGTGCTTCGTAGACAAGAGCACAATTCTCAAACATGATAGAGAGACATTCATCTACACACAGTGAAGAGTATATTTTATGTAGATATCGATTTCTACACTGATCAAGCTGATGACATCTCCATGAGAATGCAATTAGTCTCTCTTAGATGAACTTTCTTCTCGTCAACTCTGAGGTTAATATTTCCCTGTCTTTCAATGTTTTATCTAGTATACGTCGGATGATGAAATCTCACATATGACCGATTACTTGTAGATCTGTGAAATGATCTCCACCCATAGAACACGGTGTGTCCGAAATTCGATGCGAGTTTCATCAGAAAGAGAACACTATCTTGTGTGTGGTCGCAAAGTGGAGACAGTAAACAGATTGATTAGATGTGTGAATACTGAGTATGTTATGAATACTGGCCATTCACCACTGTCAAGTGAAATTGCATACAAAGTATCTGACAATGTGAAGAGAACACTCCCAAATATGGCAGACATCCGTGTTCTTTGCATTAATTACTCCGTTACGAGTCATCTATATGCAGAAACTGAATTCTTGAATGCGACGAAATCCAATGCAAGCACTTCTTCCATCTGAGGCCTACTTGTCACCTCATTGGACAAAATGACGGTTTATTTATTAGACTGTTGGAACAAAAAGGATTTTTACAAGAGAAGGAGGCTTTCTCCACAGATCCCTTGCACAGTCGACAATGTGGCGAATTTGACGCCTATTAACTTCAAGCGATAGTGTGTGCGTGTGTTGCACGACGTTTATTGCCAGAGTAATTTGAAGATATTTCGAACTTTTGATTTTGACCGTTTTGTTTTTATTTCATCATTAACACAGCAAAATCCCATCAGAGGCCTACACGTAAGTCTTCCTTTGTTTTTTAGATGCCAAAAATAATTTCAAAAACTAAATTGTTTGTACAATACACTTTGTAGTAACGAATATCGTCACATTCCGACGTTTGCACATAACCTAGTACACTTCTTTGTCAATGACATCCTAATCAGTTCCATATTTCAGGATATGCAAGAGAATACTAATGAATTGTGGCAAATAAAATGGATAATTTTATCACGTGATGAAGGATAACTTCATGAAATCGAGGTGTTCGTGTTTGGTTGAAGGTCGGGTTTCTTGATAATGTTCGAAATGACTGATGAAAGAAGTCAGTCAGGAACAGGTAACTCATTCATTCGTTGTGTAGAATTTCACCTGAACTCAATTTATCAAAACATAAGTGTTAGAAATTCGTGAATTAGATAACAAACAAGTTTCTTGAATTAAACAATCCTTGGTCTACACAGCCTCAAAATAAACACCACAACACTTTATATAAAGAATAACAACCTCAGGGAACATCACTGTTTATAAGAGCTCTTCAATGTCTTTTCCAACGATATAACTGAAAGAGTGAAATTTAAACATGACATATGTCCTTTGCTTCGAATCTTGTGACACTACTCGAAGATTCTGTGCACACCTGAGACCATAATGATGAACTCCAAATATTTTCTATTCCATGTTGTTTCTAGTACCGGATGTCTTTTGGGAGGGTAAGCAAAACGTGTGTTCATCAATGCAGTATTCAACCTTCATTCTCCATTTTGCATCGCATCAATAATACTAATAATTGTAATAATAATGGCCACTGCAACTCACAAGTACATTTTATTAATTTTCTGCTATATTTCTTCTTCATCTTTTAGCTTACCAAAACCTCAGAAATTGAAGTATGTTGTCACTTTTCGTGTTTGTCTTGTCAGTGATAGGTTTTTGATTGGTTCATCGCCAGAATTCCGTGTTTCCATTCATTTCTGGCCACCTGATTATCAATATTGAGCCCATGAAGGCAGATGTTGATGCAAGCCTCCCGTTACCTGGTAGAAATGCTCTAATAGATAAGGTCAACCTGGAGTGACATCGATTTACACATGGATCTCAGTACTTGATATTATACTTTGAAGAGATCTCCCTTCAGTGAACTCTTTTTATTACTCTCAATGAAATAATACCGCGTTACACGACAATTATTCGTCAATATTTGCATGATTAATGATTCCACCTTAACAATCCATAAATTGTCAGTTTTAATCTAGAGTAGATTAAACAGACAACAAAATGTCACAAAAAGGACAATTCACAAGTTTGTTAGACGACTGGTGAATTCATTCTTCCATTCATTGCTGTTCTATATGAAAATATTTTTTTCTATTTGTTCTTTTTACCAGTTCTGACACGTAAGTAATTCAGAAGAATAATACCACGTTGGACCTTTTTTCATTGTTATTTCAAAATGTTGTCATTTGCTTTTACATGGCGAATCGAAAAAGACGGTTTCAACAGTGAAGAGAATAATTTCCAGTGATGTTCACTCTCATTTTGTTTGTTTGAACCTGTAGATGCCAATGTTTCGCTGCCGCGTAAGTGACATGCATCAACTGCAATAATTTGAAATTTGACTCAGACATAATTTCATAACGAGTGGTATATCTCTAAAAGTTGTTGATGACTTCGTAGGGTATCGAAACATGTGACGGATAACGTTTGTGTAACGCAGACTCAATGGTCTTTATTCAATGGAAAGCTTTTTTCTAATTCTTCGCGTTCTGAGTGGAACATAGGGATTCAAGCTTTTGAAGAGTGAGTAGCATTGGCGTTGTTTGCATGTGGTGGAGTTGTTGGCTTTACATCGAACTTTCCCTGTTCTCCAGGATCAATACCACTAAGTAAGCTAGGAGCAGTATAGGAGTGGGCGTCAGAAAGGAGTCACACCCGGACACCTCGTGTGGTTCACGCGAGAACAATACCAATGAACAACTGATGCACCATAGCATTAGGTGGGGAATGATATTCACACACATTTCACCTATGATAAATCCAAAATAAAACCATTAAAATAGGCAATTGCATACTACCGGGATAATTATGAATTTGTACACTGCCACTTCAGTCAGATTAAATGCATTTTTGAGAGACGGAAATGGAATTAATTTTATGGGTAGAGTTAGTCAATTCTTCATTCGTGAATTAATTTGAATTCTGTCTAATAAGTTGCTATCTTTCGTTGAATGCCGCGATATTTCATATGGATTTTTGAACACAACTCATTTGAGATGTGAATAATTATCCCGGAATTATATTGTCTTCATTTCTTCTTCAGTCGTAAATCAATTGACAAAGTGTAAGTTTTCATTTTGTATTGTCAAATTATGTGGGGATGGGAGTAAGCTAGTAGTAAAATCATGAACACAGTGCAACGCTATGCGAGTTAGTGCTCCATGATAGTCAGTCGACTGAATGATGTTAGGATCGATTATATTGTAGAGGAAGCTGTTTTCGAAATCCATTTATGTATTTATGCCTACGTTCACAACGATCCTAAGTGTGTCTGAATCATCCCAGCATGACAATGTATAATCACTTCCTTCCTTTAATATAACTGACACTTACAGGTATCAGCACATAACTCAACTGTGCTAATTTTGATTCTCATTGGCTTCAGGGGATAAATTACTACACTTGTTTAAACTTTACTGTATTTATGTTTCTTTGTTAACAGTCAAGGATTTCACAAGCAATAGTAAGTTTCAGATGACTTGCACACCTTACAGGTATCACAGTTTTCAAGTCTTTACCTTGTCGTAATCTCTCACAGTCTTGACGAAGTACTGAAAAATAGGGTTTTCTCTCAGTGAAGTTGACACCTAGCTAGTTTCAAAAGTTATAAGCGGAAACTTAAGATAACAGAGCACTAATTGAAAATTCAGGTTTCCAAATATTAAGATATGAAAAGCATGAATGTGTGTTCTCTCAATTTATTCAGAGATAGGACTGTGGAGGATATGTTTAACTTGAGTGCTAAAGCATATTCAGTAGATTAATTTCGTCAGCTCTTGTATAAATGTAACCTGGATGATCGTTAGAAGTTGAATCAGATGATGCTTGTTGGCTTACATACTCGACATGCATGCAATGGATAACTGGACTAAGCAACGTGAAAGTCTTTAGTCACGATACGCGAAAATTCATTTCTGAGTAACTGAATGTTGATTGAATAATCTTAGAAATTTCGACTGGAAAGTCTGTGTATATCATATTCTGTAGACGACTGAACTGTGATGGAGTGAAACGTGGTAGAGCAATGCAATCGGATGTTTCGACTAGAATCATTCTGAGATTTTCAACTGTCGTCTTTTGAAATATCAGATTTCACATCTGATAGTATAGTATATGTTGCATATGTTGCAGTGTCATTGAAAACTGAAAGGGATCTGAGTGAAGTATAAATCGGATTCAGGGGTTTCAATGGATCCAATAGCCAACGAATATGCTGCTAGACACTTCCAATGAGACTGACATCAAAATGATAAATTTAAAATGTGCGAATTAGGTGTTAGTTATCATAAAAGCAGTGTGGGAATTGTAAACATATACAAAAAATGTTAACTGCGGGAATTATACTTTCAAAGACTGGAAAAATTTATCGGCGTGATTACATAGTTCAGCTACATTTGACTGAAGTACAAAATATCCTTTCATCATCATTATTCTAATTTATCACAGCCTCAAAACGATATCAGCATAGTAAGTTATTCATTCTAACAAGTTATTCAATCAAACTGTTGACAATTCTTGAGTGTATTGGTTGTTTCTACTTGAAGAAACCTTTCAGTTAACCGGAAAATGTGTCAAGTGTTGAGAAAATCAACTCTACAAGAAATGAGTCCGCTGATCATCAGTGACTGCGGACGCGATGATATTGCTTCATTTCAGTGACAGCAGGTGGAGTTGAAGAGGTTGGATTCGAGGAGAGATATCCATCCAGTGAAGTCAGTTGATGGTGGTGTCAGTACATTACAGAATCACCGTAGTTGGAATATAGGATTCCTCGAATGTTGACTTAGTGGATGAATGATCACGTGACGACTGTTTTGAACTGAAGGACTTGAAGTAGACAAACGTGGTATCATCCGTGCATACTGCTGGAGGGCATGCATATAGGAAGTGACATATTCCATGATAACGTGTAACTTGAGCTGATAACAAGTTGATGCATGGTGGTAGAGTCGATTAACAAAACTCAAAACCAGTAAGGAAATCAGTATGTTCACATCGATGTGGTCCAACGCATCAGCCTTTGTTTTTAAGTTTAGAACTGTTAGTCTTCTACAAACACACAATACTGACTTCATGAAGCATTGACATATACAGTAATTTCGAGTCATTCACGCATAATTATTTTGTATTGTCAGACAGAGACATTTAAATGAACGTTACTGGCTGCTTAAAAATCATGATATAATGACGAATTGAATTATCTTCTTTAGTCTACCACACCGTAAGTTGGACAATCCATTGGACAATAGATTTTATACAAGGATCTGCTTCAAAGTATTTCCGATTTCGTAATGAATATTCTGAATCACGATTCTATCCATCAGAATGTGTATGAATGAGGGGTAGATTTAGTGAATTTTATTTCTGTGAGTAAATGTGGAGCCGGAGGAATACAACTTAGCTGAAGTTGTAGATGAAACAATAAGCTTGACTGGAAAAATCCAAACAACGCATCCTGTGGCTGCAAGACAAATTCTTCAGTATCAGGTATATCAGTATATACAGAGGCTTCCAGGAGATACTGAAAGTATTTCAACTACAGTGAACTGGTACGAATTATTGACTACGATTAGAATTAAGCCTACCTACAAGAACACAACACCTCAATGAATCACCTGTTCATATATGCATTTCACCAAGTTCCAGGGTGGATGGGTGATCTTTCGTAGATGTGAAATATGGAAGCAGAGAAAGTTTGAGAATGTAGCCACCCCAGTGAACTCGATAAAGAAGTTGAGCATGAAATCTTTGTTTATTATTCAAGATTAATCACAGCAGTTCAATATCCCACCCACAAACTGATTGAAATTAGTTGAATATAAGCACATCATTTCGAACAGCCCTTATAATCATTCGTAGCATGTTTATCAAACTGTAAATTTCATCCGCCTGATGTCTTATATAAACAAAACTCAGCCGTTAAATGTTTCAATGAATAACATTCCCTTTATTTATCCATTTGTTTTTGTACAATATAGTGTAAATGGATTTCCACTGAATATTTGTAATGTTGAATGTAAAGTAAACTTTTGTAAAATTGAAAATAAATAAAACTGTGAAATGAAAAACTTGTGGTTTTATTTATATTTTGACGCGTTACTATGGAGATTCTTGTTTATAGTGGCAAGATGGCGGTAAAAAGAGTGAGATGGATAGGAAGAGAATCACTGAAAAGGAAGACGCTCTGTCCATCGAATGAGTTCGGATGATATGCGACGAGATATCTGGAATTGGTTTCATCTCCAAAGTTGCATATGAAGAGTAGGTTGCGTTCGAAATGTTCGAAATGAAATATTTCGCATAAGTAACACACTAATGTAACACTGCGACAGACATGTTCTACTTAATCATTTTGTGTTATTACTAGTCGCATTTGTTTTATTAGCCTCACGCAAATCCTCATTGAGGGAGAATTCGTGGCATATACAATCATCGAGGATCAAGTATTCACTGGTCTTATTCGAAGTTTTATTTTATGTGACAAAGCTGAGGATGTGTAGTAGAACCTAAAGTTCTTTCAATATTCATTCTCATAAAAGAATCCTGTGATGTAAATACTGTTTGCTAAAGTTGCTTAAGAAATTCGAATTAACCTGCATCGTTTAATTAACTGAACATATTCTCAAGATAATCCAAATGACGGTTCCAGTGAGATTGAGTTGTAAAGTGAAGACGAATTTCCTGAAGACACCATGCACTCGAATCCCTCACAGTTCTGAGGCACTAACCATTCACATTCTGTTATTACTCATGTGATAACCTCTACTGTCATGGTATTTCTTTCACGCTTTGCTTGCTTTCCTTTTAAATCTTTGAATATCCTTCGTGAATTCTGAGCTCCATTTTGATTTGTGCACCTCTGAATTGACGCCTTTTATGCATTCTTCTTCCTATGCTATTGCTGATCACATCTCATCTTCTAAATTATTCTTCATTATTGTGCAACCAAAGACGCAAGTTTAATTGGTTCCACAGAATTTAAGTTACATTCTGAGCAATCATTACTGCTCATTAGTAAGTATCCTTCTGATTTGACTTTGTTTATGTTGAGAAAGATATTGGGGTGAGTTATAATTCTGATGTACTGTTCAGAAACTACTGCAGTCAGCACATCCTAATCGCCTGACACAGTGTAACCGTTTGGGTTTAATATTTCGAAATCGAGTCTTTGCTGAATTAAACAGATCTTTCCATTCAAACTACTGGCATGCAAAGACGAAAGAAAATACTGAACGTCGATAATAAAGCCTTCACTGTCTCAAACAACAGCCAAAATGCTACACAAAAACTCTGGATCTACAGAGTTTGAATCACCTTGAAAATGCAGTAATTCAACATTGGAGTAAAAGTATTAACAGCCAATAGAAATCCAGCAATTCGAATAGGGTAAAAACAAGTTGCGGTCACACGATAACTCCTGAAAATAATTTTTTACGGTTTTAGGAGAAATTAGACAAAATTAGGTGTATGTAACACATTGTGTATGTGGCTTATCTGATTTCACACCACTTCAGAAATACAGCTGTATTCCTAAATCGCATTCTGTACTCACATACATATTTCGAAATAATTCTGAGTTTGTTGCTGCACATTATTTTAGTTCCCTGATGCATGCAAATATCATTTAGAGAAATCACACAAACTAATGCTAATTAACGCTACTGGAGTTGCTGCCGACACTTCAATGTCCCTCTAAATAACATTTGCAGCCATTCAGTCGTTGAATGAAGGGAATTCGAAGGAAATGTTAAAAATTTACTCCTCACTCAACACTTCCACATAATCAGAGAATTCCACATTTCATCCACTTTCACTAATACAATGGAGACATTATTGATAATTGTCTGATTCCAGTTACAAAGCTGTAGTGTTGTCATTGTGATAGTGTTGTTCCAGGTGACTGCATAACCCTGAAGACTAACACAGATGTTCATATTAATATTAGACATTTCGTGTAATTACAATTGCTGAATTCACTCGAACTCCTGATGAGAAGAAATCCTGGTGAAACTGTTCATTTCTCATTTATGTTAGAAGGTTGCGGAATAGGTGATGACCAGATGTAACGTTTTATAAGCAAGCATACCAAAACACCAGATGTGGAAGGTGTTAGTTCAAAGTCGGTGTCACAGCGGTTAGGACGCTCACCGACCAAGCACATGGTACGGGTTCGGTCCGCAACAGACGCACACCTGATATCAATAGTTGGCCTGCTAAATTTGGGCTACCGATATCACATGCTGGAAATTCCATACATGTACCAAAACACTGTGTGGAATTAAGCTAAAATAAAATAAATAAATAAATAATCGAGTGTTCCCTAATTGTCTCTTTGCTTTGTGAATGACATAAGCTTCAACTTGTAGTTATTTTCAAGTTGTGATTAGGAATGACTCAAGCGCTTGTTAAGAAATCTTAAATGTTAGTTCTTAAGGGTTGTTTGAACACCACTACTAATATGAATGTTATTAATTTCGGTTCGACTAGAGAAATTTGAATAGAAGTCGCTTCCAGGATGGGAAACGGTTATTTAGGTGTCCGAAGGTGACGTGAGGAAGATCGTGTGAGGAGGAGATGAGAATTCATGGCCTGTCGTGCTGCCACCTAATGGTGACTCCACACAGCAGGAGAAAATAAAGATGTGAGGCTGAAGCTGTTAGTTCCACTCGCCAACCAAGGGAACAATAATAATTTTAGCATTAGTAATAATACTAGTAGTACTAGAATGTTCGGTTAACGACTGCATTCCTAGGACAATAAGTAACTTTACGTAATTCGGCTTGTAAGAAAGAGACGTAAAGAGCGAAGAGAATTTTCTTTTCGACGATTCATTTTCATAAGCTGCTGTACAATCCTAATTATTATTATTATTCAACAAAGAAATCATCAGACCAATCAATCAGCTACTGGTGAAATTTGTCCTCGAAAGGGTATTATGTAATCTAAGGTGTGTTTTAGATGAGGTAACTAACTAGGAATTAGAAAAGAGGCAGAAGTTGACAAAACGTATTAGGTGTGAGAAAATGACTAGTCAATATAGTTGTGTAGAGTAAACGAGAACTAATGGAAAAACAATAAACTGTTTTTTTATAAAATCTGTATGAAAATGCAATGTTATTTAATAAATAGTAGTAGAGCGATAATAAAATATGGATGATGAGAGTAATAATGATAATAGTACGCTTACATAATAAAAGGAAGCAAAACTGTAGTGAGAATGTTACTCTGGTTGTTTTAGAGCGAGGGAATGTGTAAGGTGCTTTTGAATGCATAGGTCTGGTTTCAGATCCTGAATAGGCAATCATTCATCGATGTACAGATAGTGTATTCGAAGTTCTTTCGTACGATGCTGAGGAACGCTGTGTAACACTGTGAAGCATTCATGCATGGTGGCTCAATATCCATTGTTGACAAGGTGTTCGAGGATGGAGGTGCTAGTATACTTCTTTTCTCTTGTGGCTGGCTAGCCAAGCTGGACAGTGTTTCAGGATACGTTAGCGGACTTGACGTTGCATACGGGTGATATACTTTTCTTGACACAAACAAGTAAACTGATAAATACACATCGAGGTTGCCAAGAGCTGCATCTTGTCTTTAAAGTTAGACTGGATAAATTGTCTGCTGGAGAACGAATTCTCCAGCAATTTATAAAGTCAGCTCCTAAGAATTTCTGCTTCGATGGTGACTGTGAACTGCAGCCTCGTGAAAGGAGTTTTCTAAAGAACAGTTGTGATTATTAGCGACAGAGGCTTTTCCAACATATTATGGTCGATAAATCCTGGTGGATACACGTTCTCTGGGAGGGTTTCACGTAATAAATTTACCTCCTTCTCTATCGTGGCTTCCGAATAGATTTTCCGAATCCTTGGACTTAGTTTACGTACTAGGTTTTGCTTTTGAACCAGCTATCTTAATGTTTGTTTTCCAAAAGAGACATTCTGCATATGATATTAGCACTTCTCCTCTTCTCACCTGCAAAAACCTTCACTGGAAAAAGAAAGGTTATATAAAATGAAAGACAATCCTGGTGTAAGAGGAGGAACTTCTTAATTAGGTCGCAAATACAGAGATCAAATACGATCTATAAGCTAACGCTCTTATAATAGGAAAACTCAATAGATATATCGAAGCTATTCGAGGAAATCGCCAGTGGTAAGCAGACAGATAATGATCCTCCTTCAGTAGTTGATGTTGGCAGTCCGAATAAGTCCTTCATATGTCGTCCAGCTGATGTTGCCATCTCAAACGTGACAAGAGCAAACAATGACCGCTCCCCTAATTTTAACTCAAACTATGTACTCAAGTGTCTCACACCCATGAAACATACCCAGTACCTTGGAACAGATGGTGTAGCAGCCATTTTCCTTAATAAATGCGCTGACAATTTATGTCATTCTCACACTGGTATTTTCAATGAATCATTTTCCAATAACACGGTGCCTGCTTCTTGGTAGGACATTGAAATTGTTCCTGTGCCTAAATCGTCAAGTGGACCAATTTTTAAATTTAGACCTGTTGCGATTACTTCATCTTTTCTAAAAATAATGGAAAGACTACCTTTACTTAACCTTGAACTTTCATTGATGGTTTCCAATGATCCGAGTCAATTTGCTTATTTTCGTAGTAGGGGTACTATAGATGTCACTATTGTCTTATATCATAATATTGTCTCTAGTTTAGAAAGAGGTGCCAAATATGTTCGATATGCCATTCTAGATGACACATCTACCTTCAACTCTGTACCTAGACCTTGCTGTGTCACAAGCAAAGTACTGGACTGCCAAGTGGTAGCGTTTCTTCTTTTCTGATAGGAAGGAGTACTTGCTGCTTCACTTACTCCATCCGGTGTTCCCCACTCAAGGAGCTGTTCTTTCTCCTTCTCTGTCTTCTTTCTTCTTCCATGACTTTCCCCAGTCTGATGAAGCCAATTTTGTTAAGTGTGCCAATGATCTGACTCTCTCTCTACGCCGGAGGTTACTTCTCAGTCAGACTGTTCCAAAATGAATACCTTTTTATCGGAAATTGGTCAGTGCTCCTCGTCAAACGGCCGTAAGTTCAATCTCTC